GGGAGTTGTATCAGCACCAGAGTGTTGACAGCTGAACAAATCTTAGCAGGTATACAGAAGGCTCGTTCGGCATTCGCCAAATTACACCATCTCTGGCGTAGATGTGATATCTGGCTGCGTGCCGACCAAAAAACGTGTGTACTGAACAGAAGTAGCAGTTCGCCCCATCATTCTTTATGGCTAGCTGTGAGCGAAACATGGCTATTGAAAGTGAAAGATATGTAAAGGCCGGCTAGCCATCTCTGATCATAGGTGTCTCCATTCTATCTCCCTTGTTAGGTGGCAGGCTTAATAGGGTGAGTTATATTGAGGTTAGGCATTTGTCGAGTGTTCGGTAGGCGGGAGACGAAATCAATCGATCAGATTGGGAAGCAGCTGCATCGATTAAGATGGTTAGGACATGTGCTATGCATGCTAGCCTAGCCATCGCTTTGCTCGACAACCAATGTTAGCTGACACAGGATCGATGAGGATGGAGAAGAGCTAGTTCTGGTCAAACCAAAATACGGAATTAATCCATGAAATTGTTGACAGTTAGTTCGAGGAAGACCGAAGTCTACCAACCCTTGTCTCGACCAGGTCGTTTATGGGGAGGCGTGGTAATAGAATCAAAATCAATAAATCGACGAAATCTCCAACTGCTGGTTTGAGCCAGTCATGTAGAAAGGTGCTGACTGGCCACCTAGCTGGAGTCATCGGGACGGATAGACGACTGGAACGCTGGAAAGAACACTTTGAGGAGCAATTTAATTGGCCTGCAGCCAATCTCAACTTACCAAACATCCAACACCTCCCTGAATGGGATATAGGCACAGGTCCTCCGTCCCTAACTGAGGTTACTAAGACTGTCACTAGTCTGAGACGAGGCGAAGCAGCAGGACCTGGTGGGATAACTACAGAAGTGTTTATGGATGGCAGAGACAGTTTACTGTCTGAATTAACTTGGGTATTAGACAATGTCTGACCGACTGACGGGTTTCAACGTAGAACTTTGCACCGATGTGCAGCAGTTCCAATCGCCACACTCCACGTGGTACACAAAGCAAGGGAAGAAAGTGAACAAAGTGCAAAACAGAGATATGAGGGAAAAAGAATAGTAATCTAGAAGAACAATGTAGTTATAATGGATATTATAAGTCACAAGAAGTGGATGCGTCTACATCACTGACAACGATCTTGAACCATATCACAAATTGTCTCCAGCCATTAACTTTTACTTCCGTCCCGAGGAACCCAACCAGACAGTAGTCTACGCCTTCTTACGTGACTGGCTTAAACTAACTGTTGTGGATTTCATTGACTGATGACACGATTCGCTTTGACCACCACTGTCTCCTTTCCAACCTGATTTATCCTATGCCAGCTAATATTTCCCGTCGAGGAACGCGATGTTTAGTATGAAAATCTGGAAAGGAGACAGTGGTGGTCAAACCGAATCGTGCCATCAGTCAATGAAATCCACAACAGTAAGTTTAAACCAGCCACGTAAGGAGGCGTAGACTGCTGTCTGGTTGGGGTCCTCGGGATGGTAGACATCAATGCCTGGAGACAATTTGTGATATGGTTCAAAATCGTTGTCAGTGGTGTAGACGCACCCACTTCTTGTGACTAATAATATCCATTATAACTACATTGTTCTTCTAGATTACTATTCTTTTTCCTTCATATCTCTGTTTTGCATTTTGTTCACTTTCTTCCCTTGCTTTGTGTACCACATGGAGTGTGGCGGCTAGAACTGCTGCACATCGGTGCAAAGTTCTACGTTGAAACCAGTTAGTTACTCGTCATTGTGCTCATATTCCATAGTGAATTTAATGTTTGGGTGGACCTCACTAAGGCGGTCACATAATATGGATGCCTGACTCATGGCGATACAAACAACAAACGCATCATCGACATATCGGCGATAGTATGTTGTTTCACTGATTGCATCACTCAGTCGTGTCTTCAATTCTGACTGAGGCCGCTAAGTCAACTAAACCTGATATTTTCGTTTACAGTGCTTAGGGAATTTTATGTATTTTTAGTGTTCGTAGTGAATCGAGAGTCAATAACATCTAACAAGATTCTGTCAGACGATCGCTTAAATGGATTTAATGTCAATCAATATAAGAGAGAACATTGGAGGCGGCATGAAACTACTTCAAGCGTTGAAATAACTTGATATCCATGATTGCATTTCATCTGCATCTCTATCGACCATTTGGTAACAGTGGGAATCTTCAAGACGCTGACGGCGGTTCCGAGCTTTCTCCTTTAATGCATTTCGTCTATTTTGAAGACCTTCCTGAATCTCATGAACCTGTGCAGTCGCATAGTGGTTTGATTCGATTAATTTTGCAGCGAATTCATCAAGTTGTCGCATCTTTTCTTCTTGTGCTAAAAGTGACTTTTTGAAGTCTTCATGTTTCCTTATGAGTACTTCGACAGAATCGAGTGAGACTCCCACATCTTTTATTTCTAGGAGGGCCTCTTGCTTACCAATACAAGAGTCTGATTGTTTAGCGTCGCGGTAAAAATACTGAAGGCCCATACACTGTTCTAGCTGTTCACGTCTTTCCTCACACAACTGCATCAGGGAGGCTCTCCCTCTTTCAAGGGTGGAAAGTTTAGCAGCTATGTCTTCACTACAGGGATGGCCAACACTTAGTAATGCCTGACCTTCTTGCATGCATGTATCGAAACTTTCAGCTCGAGAACTTATCTCAGCGGTGTATTCCTTACGTCGCTCTACTTGGGCTTCAGCACCAGCTACATCCTTTGCCAAATCACCCGCCGATATTAACGTCTTCATTTCATTCATCCAGATACTCAAATCTCTCCAGTCAACCAAAAAGCGATGCATCTTGAATGACTCTTCCAGTTTACCTCTTCTATCTACAGCCTGACTTTTCAGCTTATCCCATGCAGTGATTAAGGCGTCATACTTGCCTTGTATAGTTTCTTGCGAATCAGGATGCTTCTGTGCAAGCGCCTTAGCATCATCTCCAAGTTGAACAATCTTTTTATCTGGGGCAGTCAAATCCCTTTCTAATGCTTCGTGCTTCCTTTGTAAGGCTTGGACTGAAGCAAGATCATGACCACAGTCCTCAATTTTCTCTGTGGCTAAGACATGATTGACCATGCTAGTTTCTTCAAGGGTCTTCCTGTATGGTCCCAGTAATGTCCAACCCAAGGGAGTCTTTACGGCACAAGGTTCGTTAGCTCTTCCAAGCCTTTTATCGATAGTTACGTGAGCTTCTGGCACGTTACAGCCAATAAGCATCTTAATTTCTTTATTCTTAACCTCTGGTAAAACTATCCCATCTAGGTGACTCCATGAGGCCATCTGATCTGCTGTTAGCACAACTCTTTGTGACTGTGGCAACTTCTCTACTATCCATGCTTTGGAAACAGTAACATGAAGTGATGAATCCAACGGAGAGATTTCCAGTTGCACTTGTTTGCAAGACAAAGTAGACTGTGAACCAAGCGTCTTAAGGGAGACTGTCTTAGTTGCTCCTACCAAACCTAGTTCTCTTGCCAGATCTTCTGTGACTAATGTTGCATCTGAACCACTATCCACAAACGCACAGGTTTGGACGACATTACCATTATATCTGGCTAAGATGGGCACTATAGCGAATGCGGTTTCACTTGCCGGAGTCTTGTCCAAAGTCATATCACTACACTCCTGAGCGTTAATATGCACATCATTTTTTATATCGTCGGATGATCCCTGGCTTCTGTGAAGCGATGTATGGTGTCTCCAACCACAACCTTCAACTGTACAGGACCTTGGAGATCGGCAATTCTTTGCTATGTCATTTGCTTTTAAACATACGTTGCATAGTTTTCTCTTGGAAACAAACGCCAGACGTTCATCAAGGTCTTTATCTTTAAACTCTAAACACTGGTCTAGGAAATGGTCTCCCGAACACAATATACAGGGTGGGATAAATAAACGTGATTCGTTCTCAGGATCATTATTCGGCTTTTCGACATTATTCTCTGAGAGCCTGGTAACAAACACTCGGTGTTTAGAATCAGAGTTTTTCTTCATAGGGTTAGTAAACTCCTTACTATTTTTTCCCGTGGAATGCCCATTGATTAGCAGCCCATACCTGGTGTTAGCCATATCTGACTGCTCCTTAACAAACATGCATAAGTCGCTAAATGATGGTTCGCGACCGCTCTTTATGACGTTGCAAGCCACCTTTATCCATTCTCTCTGTGAATGAACAGGGAGTTTTAGGACTAGTTGTTCAATAGTTTTACCAGAATTCAAATCTGAAACATAGTTCATCTGTTTTAAAGTCAATTCGCAGACTTGCAGCTCGTGAGATAGCTTCCTTAGTAATGCTGCATCACTGCTTTTAACATTTGGAAATTCTAGGAGTTTCTCTATGAAGGTTCGGGCCACAACATGCCTTTGCCCAAATGCTTCCTCTAATAGTTGTAGGGCTTTATGATAACCTTCCTCTGGCTCTAGCAAAACACTGTGTTCGATTACATCTTTGGCTTCTCCTTCACAATACTGAATCAAGTAATTTAGCTTACTTCGGTATCCAATGGCATCATTATCCACCAAGTCTTCAAAATTCTTTATAAAATTCCAATAATTTACAGGATTACCGTCAAACTTAATTATCTCTCTTTTAGGCATGTCCAGAAACTTGGACATGGCTCTGGCGAGCTCAGCGTTAGAAGATACAGCGACATGATTAGAACATTCACGACTAGCTTGTCCTAATCTTTCCAGTTCAATTTCTTTCTCTATTTGGACTATGCGCAATTTCGCTAGCTCCAATTCTACCATATAGTGTGATTTATTCTCGTTGCTTCCAGGGAAATCAGCTTCATTACTCTTTTCTAACTGTGGAGTTAACGACGGCATAGTTTCATAACTTTCGTCTGCCATACTGTTCGAAAAATTGTAGGATTATTTTTGTCCTACAGATTTAGTCCTTCCTCAATACTGACGACACAGAGTCTGGGCTTAACTATAGTTAAAACAGAATGACTTGACTTTAACTTTATCTGTTTCTAAAACATAAAATAAATCAGACAATTACACCAAGAAAAATGTACAAATCGACTGTCATTACAAAAATAGGATAAAAACGTACCGAACAGTATTGAAGGTACGGACAAAATGAACAGTCAGTTAATTACATGTATATACAAGTAGAGTGACAGACAAAAAAGAACATTCAAGGTCACCATCACGTGGTGTGAGTTACATTAATTCGCCAATAACCGCGACAAAAAGGTCACATAATATTGATTGGCTGCTTATCATACAGTCTATCTATCTGTCGCGATTAACAGTCAGCTTAGCCAAAAAGACAGTGAACTAGCCATCTCCATGATTTCTCTGAAGAAGAAAAAAACACGATATATATACGTTAAATTTACTTCAACTAACCTGTGTGATGTAGATGAGGCTGGTAGATGCATTTTTTCTTGATCACGTAAATACTTGGAAAATTCATACTGTCTGTCAGTAATACTCAGACCTTTACTCAATAACTTTAACAATTGACATAACTCGGGATCAACAGGTTTCATGAAATTTTGCTAAATAATCAGGCATAAAAAGAAATTAATTAAGAATGAACAACTTACATCTTTAATCTTACGAATCTTTGGAAGTAAATCACTCAAATCAGGAGATATCTCTTCATCATCTTCAGTGAGAGGAACAGTCGGCTGAAAAACACATCACAATTGGGAGTAAAACAAAAATAAACAACAACAAAATAATGTTAAATTCAGTAGGTCTGTTCATTGTACACAAAGCATGAAACCACATCAATAAAGTTGTTGTTGTTTTTGATGTTGAAATGCATTAACTGCTTAATGTCTATCTTTACAGATTTTAATATTCAGATTTTACTATGACTTATTTAGGTGGAAGAAAATCGGCAAACATTACAAGGTGTCAAACTGCTGCATGAAAATGTAACACGATATAACAGTAGTACATCTACATTCAGGTATAGCATAATCTCATGTGTTATTTGATTTAATTGACACAATGTTCACTAGGTGATATTTCAAGCACAATTTATGGCTCATAATCATATCAAATTAATCAAACAACCTTCGAAATCGAAATTTACGGTTCTTTAGAGACTTAATCACAACTGATAGCTGGTATCTTGACATAATGGTCGGGCCTGCATATCCCAATGAACCGACAAGCTACAACACTGGCCGGAAATAATGATTCTACAAGTCTCACCATTGCAAGAAGGCCGTTAGATCAATAGAAGTTACCACCTTAATGTAATTTCCTGACACTACGTTGGGAATCTGTGGGCGAGTTTGCACCGCTGCCAGATATGCATGTGATAGCAGTAAAGAGTTGATAAGTGTGTACGAAGTCTCGAAAGCAACACAGCTATGGTAATATAGGCATAGATTTCAAACCACTGTATGTGATAGGGTTGGACGAAAATTCTACATTTCAAAATAATTCAGCGGAGAGTGATAGAACACCGAATTTTTGTGTCTGAAATCAATACCGAATTCGTACGACCGGAATAAGACGTATCCATAAAAGTGGAGGAACGAAGCATTAAGCGAATGAATTTCCACACAGAAACTTGCACAGAAGTGCAGCAGTTCAAGTTGTCACACTTTATGTGGTAAGCAGAGATAGAGGAGACAGAAAAGAAATCCAAAAAGCTAATAGGTAGAAATGTACGAGGAGATAGAAGCTTGGGGAAACATAAAGGTTTATTCGGCATAGAAAGCCAAAAAGAATCAATGCATCTGCGTCAGTGAGAAGCATTCTGAGCTATATCACCGATAATCTACAGTCACCGGTTCTTAGTATCCCGAAGACTTTGTCAAGCCATCCACAACTCCCTATGTGGTGCGAATTACATTGATAACAAGTTTTGCGTTGACTGTCGTTAACTCTTTGTCAATACAACCGTCACCTAAAATTGCTTGTCGAGGAAGACGACGCTTCGACATGCGCTGCACGTATCCCAGCCTTCTCAATCGACTTATCTTCACAACCTCATTGACTGATTCACCGTTCCTAACTAACACCACGCCTAACTTCAATATTACACACCATATTATACCACTTAACACGGGAGATAGAGCGCAAACATCTCTGTTCAAAGACAGCTAGCCTTCTCATATCTTCCACTTTTCTCAGCCATATCCTACAGCAATAAAGCAGGATAAGGTGAATCGCTGTGCAGTGCACATGTCATTGTAATTTCCCATATCTAATAAACCCTTATGTTTCACCGTGCTACTGATCTTTCTCTGTCAATTTCCTGCTTACTATAGTCATTTCGAACTTTTTCTCTCTTCATTTATTCTGTCTTTGTGTGATTCATTGTGTGAAAGACGGACATCACGTCCACGCCAGAAATGACGTCAGCTGGCAAATTCAACACGAGCCTTTTATGAGTACTGATAGTTCGTGAACAGTGGGGTCTGTTCGGGTTGATACAACTTCCCACATAATCGAAGTAGTCAACACCCTCTACGGCTACACGCTGCCTTTAAGCTAGGAGTAGGCGCAGTCTAGTCCCCGAGTATTATCTTCCACTAGACAGGAGCCACTCGCATGCCAAACATTCAAAGAATTTTGCCAAAGGTATCCGGAAGACTGCACTTTGACAAAGTCTTCACCTAGGAGGACAACATCATCCGCTTCCTCTAAGTCGACAGGATCATGTCCTTGTAACAAGTCAATCCCTGAGTCCTTGAGGTCAATTAGGGTGAGTTAACCCTAGTACATCTACGATGAAATTAAATATGAATGCAGATAGTGGACATTCCCCAGGTTCTGAAATCTACTGAAGAGTGAACCTAACACTTAACATACTATATAAGCCAATCTAATTCCCCGGTGATTATCACAGGCAGACTAGTCTCCCTCCTTATAAACTAGGATATACAATCATTTGCATTAATCTGGCAGAACCGCTTCTGATTCTCAGACATTCCCAGACAGTTCGTCACCTTTCGAATCATTCGATCATATCCTGCTGCTCTGTTTCGCTTAAGATTGCAGATGACCTACGAAACCACAGTTGTAATTGGAGGACTGATGTCCGGTAACTTTCGCTTATGTCTGGAGCAGAAATCATTTTTTTTTGAATCTGTTGGTCTAGATGAAGTAACAGAAATCCCCTGGCATTTACTAACGTTTGGTTTCACCTTTACGTAAAGGTATAACAATGTTTCTATAGAAACAGCTGTATACAGCTAACTGATCAGTCAGGTGGCATAAGCTAACTGGCTTGATGTTCAGACTTCTAAAATCATCAGTAACAAATTCGCTTTGAAGTAAGTGAAACGAAGAATGAGTTATATACACAACTACACTTTATGCGTAATGCAAATGTACATTTCTACCACTCCAGGTAGCAGGTACTGACAGACTTACTTTATTAATGCTATCTGGTTCTCGAGAACTAGACCTTTCAGTCCGATCAGTTTCCAGAATTTCATCTAAGAGGTCGAACTCTTCCCTGAACAATGGGTCGTCCATCGCGGTAGACTCAGCTAGGGGAACAAAGGGATCCCTTATTGGCACACCCTGATCCATGACCTTATGACCTGGAATCTGACTATAGCGTCTTTCCATGTTGGATGATCGATATAGGCACCTTTTGCTTGGCTGTTGGCTAACTGGCCTCTTTTTGGTCTAAAATATAAGTTAAAATGGCAGTCTCTTTATTTTGACACGGAAATTTACAGTCAGTTTAATTTCAGGCTTAACTTACCATAATATAACGGCGTGTTAATTTTTTTGGTGTGAGTGTAGTGTGATAGTCACACGCTATTTGGATGCATTTGTGGTATTTAAAGTACATTGAGATGTATGAGAATGTCTAGCAAGTGAATATAAATTAACAATAATTTTGATGCACTTATTTTAAGCCCAAAATAGGATGTATGCATTTTTGCTTACTAGGCGAATATAATCCAACTACAATTTCTAAACATATAATGTGTCTTTAATTAGAACATATAGATAAATGTATGTATTAACTGATCCACTTTTTTAAGTTGCTAGTTTAGTGACCTGTGGGATTTGTGCATAATAGGTCAGCATAAATCAATTAAATGTACTAGGTCACAACAGTGGTTTATGAGCACTGAAATATATACTATTATTCATCTACTTGAAATTATAATGTTGTGTTCGTTAGTCATTGTTTAAACCATTACATGACGTTACAAGATACTCCTGCAGCCTCTAATTCACGAAATGTGTCACCTATATTGTCTGATGTAATGGCTATATTCCAAAGAATAATGCTTAGTTGTGTATTTTATACGTGGGTGCAACTTAAGCAAGCTTTTGATACATTTATGAAGGTAACAACTAAATTGTTCATTATTTCTTTGAAAGGAATCGAACACATCCTAACGGCTTGATTCAGGTAAAAAAGACCCATCTGGCCCTATGGAATATAAGTTTGTGAGGTATGAATGCACTTTTGGAGGTATAGTTTAGTAAGCTTGGGACGCTTATCATACCAACCTTGCAACAATTCTCAGCAAAGTCTAACCAACGCGTCAATAATGCCTTTTTACGGTAAATGAATATTTTATCTGCTTGAAGTGAACCCAGTATTTACTGAAATAACCCTGGTCCTTCTATAAAGCTACTATATTTGGGTCTCGCCTACTCAGGAACATTCTGCCTCCCCCCTGTACGATAATTATAGGAAATTTTCCCTGGCAGTATACTTACTTTCGAGTACCAAATACAGCCGACTGTTCGTGGATGCTGTTCGGACAGATTGGAGTAATTTCTTACTGCAATATGAGAACTGTCTCGGAGATGAACATATTGTTTACAATATTCATTTTCTGAAACGTACAGTGGATGACGTCGAGCTGCATGGACTATTAGAGGGATTCAGTGCATTTCCCTTTGAATTCTATATGCGCATGATCAGACAGTTCGTGCACTGTGGATATGTTGTGGCTAAGCAGGCAGCTCAGCGTTATGTTGAGCACGTGCACTTAATGAAAAGTACAGGTGTCAAGCATGTACCTAAAGCTAGTACTAAAGGCGTTAAGTTTAGCAAACGAAAGTTAACTTATCTGAACGTCATATTTACTTCTTATTCTCCGGACAATGTAATCTTAGCCTCAGGTAAACCGGGGGAATATAGTTGATATGGAAAGTGAAGATAGGATACGCTTTCGACCCTACTGTGATTTTAGTGATGATTTTACTACACCATTTAAATGAAGGAATTTAGGGATATTCAGATGTTCGAAATTCAGTCACGAGATGTAAGGTTCATTAATGAAGTACTTATTTCTGTAGCGACCAACTGATGACATCGAGAGAGGTTGGTGACATAATGGATTAGGCCACGAAATCGTACATTCATAATTTGAAAGATCGTGTCCAAAGGCGTAACCTGAAGAAAGGAATTCAGGTAATACTGTTAAACGCCCGCTTCGTCTTATAGGTTAACGTTAAGACAACATGTAGTAATCACAACATTGTTTTTATTTCTAGGCAAATGGAAAAGATAGCAGGGGATATAACAGTGGCAGTTATGTAAGCAAACTTTTCTAAATGTAAATGCTGAGAATGTGATGAGCACAATGTTTCATCAACTGATATCTTATTTTGCTTATTTACAGGGTGCTACCAGTGGACCTAACTTGACGGATTAGCAGTGACATTGTACTACAGTTTCCAAATATAATTTCCAAATTTAAGCTCAAAAAAATTGACACTATGTGCTAAATTAAGTCTTTTTCTTCTGAAGTTAAGCTAGTCCGTAATGAAAATGAGCTCAAAGGGTTTAAATAAAGCTGATAAGCAAAACCAGTAGGTTCTCAGCTACTCCTGAAAATGTCTACAAAAAGAACATGGTGTTGAATTAGTGTCAGTCATGCTGAAAACCAAAACTGAGTTCTAGACTGTGACACTAAGGAGTCTGTTTAAGAAAAGATCCAGAATTTACTGACTGTAGAACGTTGGGATTATTGAGATTTAATTCAGCATTATGGTAAGCTTGGGAGGAGCAGAACCTGGACTAGAAGGGCTGCAATAAGGCTGACAAGCTACTTCTGATAATGCGTAGAATAAGAACAAGGTGCTGAATTGGTGCCAGTCATGATGATAAACCAGCGCACAGTTCTACCTTAAGCAAATAATCCGTAACTGTTCTGCCACTGTTTGATCCAACAATGGCAGAACAGTTAAGGCGTTTAATTACTGAGAAAAGTTACTATATTAGCATAGTACACGTGAATTGGCTCAATGATTGCAGATTTACCATAATCCTTAACTACCAACATAAAAACTGGGAACTGCAAGCTAAAAGTAAACGTCATAGTAGCATCCAGTGACAAAAAACTGACCTACATACTCCAAAACAAGCAAAACGTTCAAAAAAACCTTTAAAATTCAATGGAAAACGAATTCATGAAAACATATAACCAGTAGACGCAGGAACCCATTATGACCTTTAATCTGGCTATAGCGTCTTTCTCCATGTTGGACAGCGATAACCGAACGAGTGTGGGCAGCGTGTCGACGGCCGAAATTTCGAGTGTCCGCGAGTGAGATAAACAAGTGATTTGCTCGCTTGTGATTCCAATATCCAATATCCTGATTACGAGCTAGTATAAACCAGTGATTTCTTTGAGCTCGCTTCTTGATTTTAAGGTAGAGGTTCCAGATCTTCGGTGAACTTATGCGTAGTAAATCCCGCCACTCGACTGCTTTAGCTCTGGTAGACTCCAAGAGGAGTGATGCGAGGATTGGTCAAGATTGTGGTTTGTAGTGTGCAGTATGTTAGGACTCAGCTGCTGCCGTGAATGGAGTTTGACCTAACACCCGTTGGTCATTCGGTATAATCATAAAAGTAGAGTAATAATAATAATGATAATAATAGGTTGTAGTGTAGATAATATAAGTTGAGATAAGTGAAATAATAAAGAAAGAAAGAAAAGAGAGAGTATTCGGTACAGTGGGAGAAGACAGGACGGGTCGTGGGGATTTAGCTTGTATGCTTATCCATTGACAATGTGATTTCAAATTTTAAGAGGGTAAGCCATTGAGACACAAACCATGCATTTCTGCATGATTGTCCAGCTTCCGCTTAAAAGTCTCCACAGATGGAGCTGTAGTTACGGCCGCCGGTAAAGCGTTCCAGAGACGGCAAACTCGAAGCGAGAAGAAATGTGAACGCACTCGAGTCCTTGGTCTCTGGTGTGCTATCCTTAGCGGGTTACCTCGCGGAAGCCTATAATCACTTAATGGCAGGATGCTCTTATTAGGATGGGCCTGGTCATTTAGGATCTTATAGACGGTGATGAGGTCTCCCCTGTGACTACGGTAACTAAGTGTGAAAAGACTTAATTTCTTCAGTCTCTCCTCATATGATTTGTTGCGGAGGCCGATCACCCATTTTGTCGCTCGTCTCTGGACACTTTCTAGCATGTTAGCATCCCTTTTGAGTAGCGGAGGAGCAATGATATTATGCACCTCAAGGAGTGGCCTCACGTATGTCGTATACAACGTTAGGAATAGTTCAGGAGTAAGAGCTCCCAGCTGCCTGTGTATAAAGTGTAAAGTGCCGTAAGCTTTGGCGACGTCCCTCGTGTAATTTACACTGGTGTCTAGCTTTTCTGTTAAAATAAGGCCTAGATCGCGTTCTGATGGCACACAACTCAAGTTCTGGCCACCAAGGGTGTAATTTGCACTCTGTGACCTGCCGGAATGAAGTTGCACTACTTTGCACTTCTTTAAGTTGAAAGACATTCCGTTAGCCAGAGCCCAGTCCCCCAGCGTTTGCAGGTCAGCCTGCAATCTGTCGGAGTCTTCCGATGAGTTTATTGCTCTCCAAATCTTTACGTCGTCAGCGTAAAGAAGCGCAGAGCAATTCAGTTGACAGGGCAGGTCATTGATAAAAATCAAAAACATCAACGGCCCTAAGATAGAACCCTGAGGAACCCCTGATGCCGAGTGTGCCAGGATGATCGGATGCGGTTGACTTTGGTGCAGAATTCTCTCTCGCCTAAATAATCTTCCAGCCATGCGAGAAGTGCTCCAGAAACACCCGCTTTGCTTATTTTGTGAAGGAGCAGACCATGGTGAACTGTGTCGAATGCTTTCGCAAAGTCGAGAAAGATCACATGGACTGGTACCTTTACATCCCAGGATAGTGTCCAATCGTTCCAAGCTAGTAGAAGATTCGTCACACAGGATCTTCCCTTCCTGAAACCGTGCTGTGCTTCATGGAGTAGGTTAGTCCCGTCGAAGTATTTTCTCATGTGGTCGTTAATGAGACTTTCCAATATCTTCGATATCACTGGGAGTAGCGCAACTGGTCTGTAACTGGTCGCGTCCTGCCGGTCACCACCCTTGAAGATAGGGGATAGGATGGCTCGTTTCCATTCACATGGAAGTTTCCCTACATCAAAGGAGTGTTGAAACAGATCGCTTAGGGGTTGGCAGAGACTTTCTGAACACTGCTTCAGGACGGATGGTCTTATGTCATCGCAACCTGCAGACTTTCCCGAAGCCAACTTTCCCAATTTTATGAGTACCATAGCCGGGGTAATTTGAAATGTACCCAGCAGATTTTCGCACGTTGGTCTTGCATTGTAATCTTGATGTTTTGTGGGGGTAAAATCCTCGTTACTGTTCAGTTGCCTGTGAAAGGCTAGACTGAATGTCTCTGCCATTTCAAGACTAGTAAGAGATTTCCCATCAGGACCCACTATATTGCAAGCTCCCTGGTTGGTCGGTTTTCTTTCAGACATAAACCTGTACAGGCTTTTGGGGTTCACGAGAAGCTTATTGGCGAGGTTTCTTTGAAATGTCCTTCTATCACTCCGGACTCGTATGTTACACCGATTCCTAAGTTCGAGGTACTCTTCATGTTCGGGTTGACTCTGCGATACTCGCCACGCAAACCAGGCTTTTCGCTTCGCCTGTAGAAGGCGTTATGTCCCCCTTTTTAGCCATGAACGTTGCTTTCTAGCGTTAGGTGTGACCAAAGGAACAGTGTCTGAGATCGCCTGGTGAATGATCTCCTTTACCACTCTCCAGTGTTCTTCTACTGTAAGCTCTGTCCAATTTTTTGGCCAATTTGCTTCAGACAAAAGTCTTCGCATTTCGGTGTAACTGGCTTTGTTATAACACAGATAGGGCTGTGTATTGTCCCACTGTAAACGCTCGCGGAGGACTATGTCGAATGTTATGACCGCGTGGTCACTACTACCTATGGGAGTCGCGATCTGAACGTTTTCCACTAGTAGCTGGTCACTAGTGAGCACGTAATCCAGTCTAGAAGACTTCCCATCTGGGCCCCATCTAGTATCCATTCTGACATTTTCGGTGAATCCGGCCCCCGTGATGGTATGCAGCAGATTTCGATCAAATCTGTCCTGGGCACATCCCGTCATCAAGTTAAGAGATGGGGCATTGAAGTCTCCAGCTATGACAATTTGATCATAACCCATGTCATGTGTCGCTGAAATTGCATTCAGCAGTTCCTGGTTGTGGTCTGCTCCACATGAAGGTGATCTGTAAATGCTGCCCACTAGATACTTACAGTACCCAACGGTGAAATGGCACCATATGGAGTCAGGGAGCTCAATGAGGGGAGGGTCGATTGCATGGACACATCTGAGCTGTTTGTCGACGTATATGGCGACTCCACCTCCTTCTTTCAGATCCCTATCTCGCCTGACAAGGACCGTATCATTTATACTGACTTCGCTGTCTGCCACCGTAGGGGTTAGCCAGGTTTCCGTCAGTATTATGATTTTGGAGTTCAGCTGTGATTGTAGGTATCTAAGTTCAGCTATTTTGCCTCTTAGACCTCTCACATTACTGTACAGGCAACTGGTAGTCAGTCTCACCACGTCCCCGTATTGGGGGGTGGTTGACGTGTTGTGGGCTGTCGGTTGAGGAGTTATCCTACGAACTAGTTGGCCGATTCCCCGGGAACCGGCCTGTTGGCGTTTTTTTCTTCTGATTCAATCGGAGCACTTGGATGACACTGGCTATCATCGTCCGTGCTGCACCGCTGTATTGTGACTAGGGGTTGGGGATGTTCTATGACAACGTTTTGCTCTCTCCTTTGGGTACGAGGCCGGCTCTCGCAGCAGCGAATGTGTCTGCTGACCTTGTCTTTGGTCTCGTACCATCTCTGGAGAGCAGTAGTCAAGTGGTCTCGGGAGCTAAACTTAACAGCTAACAGACGTGGGGTGTTAATTGACATTAGGTGAGTGGGTCGAGGCAGTCTAAAAATAGAGACAGCCCCTGAACTTCCCAGACCCATCTGGGATGCCAACCATCTCCATTGCTGGACATCGTGACAGTGCTTCTCACAAGCGTTCCCAGTTTCCAGTTCAGGAATGCCGTGAACAACCATGGAGGCAGAAGGAATAAGCTCTGGCGACTCCCTCGCCATCTGTCTTTCCTTCCATGGCCTATCTGACCTAACACGTATATTGCAGGTCCTCCCTATAGAAAGGACTTGGGAAGTCAATAAAACTTTTTCGGCATCTTCGGCAGAGCCTAGTGTTACCCTCAGTGGGGATGGTTTGCCTTGAGGAGCAGCAGTGCCCTTATACAATCTGTACAGTTTTACTGGTTGGATGTCCAGACCCAGTGTGCTACATAAGTTGGACCACTGTTCCTGATCAAACAGGGCCCTGTTTTCCAGCAGACTACTGCTACAGTCTGGTACATTAAAGAGGATAACGCAGTTTGATCGACTGACCGTGGACTTAGGTTCGGTCCTCGCACATTTGTCATCCCCCTTAAGACCGTTTTGTTTCGTCTGGTGCAACTGGGTATTATTATGTGTCGCAGTGCTGTGGCCACTTTTACTGGTGGACGGTAAGGGTCTTTTCCCAGCGACAGGTACCCTTGGTGCTTCAACCTCTGTGTCTGGGGCAGTTATGGCAGGAATTGCAAGTATAACCGGTGTGGATTTTGGTATCCCCGATTTACATGCAATTGTGCTGTTTTCTGAGTTGGTGGGAGTGAAACGTTTCACGTTTTTTCCTGATATCTCTATGACATCTGTAGCTTTCGAGGAACTACACGAGGCTGCATTAGGACGGCAACTTGGGCATATGTACCAGAACCATGGGCATGGGTTCTTACGCATAAAATCGTAATATACCTTTGGTACTCCGGTGTCACGTCTACAATGTACCCATTGCTTACAAAAGTTACATTCGAAGGCAGAGTCTGCTTGTTCGACAATAGAATTGCAGACCTTGCAATCGTCTGCCTTCTTGGGGAACGTTTTCGTCGTCTTGCGACGTCGTGAACGTTTCTTATTGGCCTTCCTGTTTGTTTCAAGGCCTACTGTGGATATAGGTGTCATACTATTCACCTGTTTGCTTAGTTTGGCTGAAGCTCTGGTGACTACGGTGTATGGTCTCCCATTACTTATCTTGGGGTGAGAATCTATAGTCATTTTACTCCTAAAATAATACCGATGATTAAATGATAGGAGACAGTGGAGTTTCGTCCAATAGACTGACGGCAAAAGACAGTAGAAAGCACAGAACAGAAAGATAAAGTATATAAGTAAAAGCTTTT